AAGTAAAATTAAGTGAGTAACTTTATTTATGGAGCGCTTTTATAACAGCATTACAACCGACCAAAGCGCTGATGTCTTTGGAGGCAAAGCAAAGAGACTGAACTTCGGAAGGACCTACACTAGTTTGAGGGAGCTAAGGGAGACAACAAAATCATAGACTGATGGTGACCTGGCTTTTTTGCTACTGGACTTGTAAGTAATAATTTTTTTCATCCAACATTCTGGATGTTTATATTTTGTTCCTTATCATATAATCAATTGGCTTGTGTTAGCATAGCTCGTTATTAGCGCTAGCTACAGCAGGCTGCGACAGGGTTGTTCACAACAGTTGTAATTACACATTTAACCCAGTTGCAGGAAGAAGCGGGGAAACTGTTTTAGTGTTGCTTTAAATAAAGCGCACAAACAACGCTTCAAATCTCACAAGTCATGCGTGGCAGCCATTTTAAAAACGAGTTTGCATCATTAAACAGCAAGTATATTCCAAGCCTAAACGTGCCTAAAATTGCATGATTTAATATGTTGAAAAAAAATCTTTATTTTCTATCAAATAGATATTGAAGACTTTTTTTTAATGAAGACCACTGTAAAACTACTGCTGCAGGTTTTGTATTCTCATGTAATCTGAACTCTATAAGAAAGATAATAGAAAAGTTTTGTAGAAACATACACATCTTTTGGGAGGAAAAATTAATTTATTGGAAATGTTTCTTCATTAGAATGAGACAAAGCACCCATAGAGAGATGATTTAAGATACACCTTGAGCTAAATGGAAATAAAAAGGATTATTTCAGAATGATGGCACATTTTTCCAGTAATGCGTTGAGTAGAAATAGTGTTTTGGGCCTTTTATAAAACATTTATCAAACACTAAAAAAAAGTGTCAAATGCTATGCTGGAAAGAGGTGGAAAACTCACTTAAATGAATTTGCTTCTTTATTTATTATACTGAAACATAAAAAGCACCTGAGGCAAACATTATATTATAAAAGTTAACACCCCAATAGATGAGCATTATCTGCGGAGTGAGGTGATGCTGCATTCATGACAATTCTGCCAGAAAAATTATTGAATATAAAACTTATATCAAAAGCTTATAAAAGAGCATAAATCAAATTCTATGAAATGTTAGAGAACAGAAATGTATTTTTAAAAATTTAACCTTGACTCCCAGAGAAACATTTTATATTAATTTGGTGTAATAATGGTTAAGATATAGTTCAAGCTGATACTATTATTTAAAAACGATATTAGTATGAATTGGTACATTTTATGCAAAACTCACCTTTTGCGCTGCCATGTGGGTCTCTACTGCCTCTATAACCATTCCAAATATGAAAAATAGATCCTTAAAGTTATTTTCTGTCAGTGTTTGGTTTTAGGAATTATGTGTCCAAAATTTGCCATTTCAAAAAGTCCCCATTTGTGATGTCACACACGGGGAAATGTTTCACCCCTCCAGGGTTGAGGAACAGCAACTCTACTCTGAAAGCCTCCATCTGAGCTTCTCAGCTTATAGCAGCTTGAGTGGGGGGGCTAAACCCTGATTTATACTTCTCCATGAGCTCCGCAACGGAGAGACGCACACGGAGTGTCGGAAAGGTTTTCACATTCGAACTTCTGCTCAGGCAGCGGAGTGTTGCAAAGCAATTCCCCACCAGGACAACAGAGGGCGTAGCGCTGTTCTGTGGTATCCTGCCACCATAACACTCATGTATCCGGTCCCCGATAGTGTATTTACTAATGTGTTTATATTTTTCAGAGACTTTATAACACAGACAAATTTGTCCATCATTCTCTTCCACCTCTTCATGTGGTCGCAACCTCTAAACCCACATTTTCCATCGTTTCCATCCACTTTTGCTCCGTATTTTGTACTCCTTCACTCACGGGTGAATAAGAGTTAATATTTTCTGACTTTTTTTGAGATGCGTTCTTCAGTCTGTTCTGGGTCTGCCACTAAATATCTGTTTACTTTTTAACGGAGCTACAGTGGTGCTGGTGACAAATATACAGGAAGCAGCGTTCTGACCAGTCACAAGCTTGCGGTTTCCATCATTTTCGCCAGATGTTTAAAATGTTGGGCATGTCTCCATCACCCTCTGTAAGCCCGTCAGAGAGCCCTTACGCCGATGCATAATGGCGTTGTGTGTCACCGCACCGACGCAGACAGAGAAGTATAAATCAGGATTAAGTGAGCGTCGCCAGCTCCAGCTTGTTTTCTTAGAGGGAAAGAGCCCTGAAATGGCTCATTCTGGAAGGTACTGAAATTGTCGAGAGTAAACCTGCAGAGATTTGTTTGTGTGAGAGCGATTTTAAACAAAAACCTTCAAAAACATGTTTTTAAGTCATAAAAAATCTTTAAAGATAATCCATCCATCCATTGTCTGAACCCGCTTGTCCACGTAGGGTCGCCGGGGTGGGGGGGGGGGCTGGTGCCTATCTCCAGCGGTCAATGGGCAATCAGGCGGGGTATACCCTGGACAGAGTTCCTGTCCATCGCAGCCTTTAAAGATAATGACCATGTAAAACAATAATATTTGACTTTTTGTTGAAACATACCCACTTTCTATAAGTTTATAGTTCCTTTTCATTTAAGTTCAGTCCATGTTTGAGTAAGACCCAAGGACTAGAACATGCTCTAAATTAAACTTAATGTCAAATAATCCCCTTAAAATTTAGAATATGAAAAGGTGACAACATAAAGACTATTGCTTTTTGGTTTTAAGAATGTTAAAAAGAAAAACACTTGAGCATTTGGTAGAAAAAACAATAACTGAAAACAATGCAAGTCATCATTTCCTGTTAGTGATAAGCTTGACTGAACGTATCCTGCAAACACATCAATTTTATTGCGTGTTTTGCAATATGTCACAAGGGCGTGTCTTAGCTCTATCTGTAGCCTATTGCTATTGTAAATACAGTCACATGATCCCTCTCTTGTGCTCTTTCTTGCTGACATGCAGCCACACATGCACACACACACACACACACACACACCATCCTAAGGATAGAAATCAATAAATGTTAGAAGTATGGCAAAGATCTCCTCCCAAAGCTGTCATCACACCAGGAACAGATCTGTAAAACACTAAAATAAAACGCATGGGAAAGAATTGAGCAAGTCTCCAAGACAACTACAATAGGACAAGCTGCAATTTACTCATAACTACATTGCATATCTTGCGGCACAATCATGGCTGATTAGGACTTCATGCAAATATCCCGGGTTTAAACAGATGCAGGGATGTGATTGATGAGTTCTAAATGCGAAGCACACCCTCGGCTGAAAATAAAGACTGTTTTGATGTATTTTGAGGGGCCTTGTTGTTACATTGACACAAGCCACCGTAGCCTTGCACACGTTTGCTCATCTGAAGGAAAATCACAACACACAGCAGAAACCTATGTTGATTCTGTGCTTTAATTGCGCTGACTGGCTGGGTGATTTTCTCAAGAGTTTCCACACCTGGGAGTGGCTTACTTAACATCAGCAGGCTGCTGGACAATGCCAGACAATGACAAACCCCCTCACTGATGGGTGCATGTTTACAGACAAATTCCCTTGACAACAGAGAGCCTCGACTGCCTAAAGTGGTTTCATTCATTTGCAGCTGCAGGCAAGAGGCTGTTGTCCTAAAGTGAGCAATCAGGAGTGCATCTGAGGAGTGGCTGGGCAAACACACACACACACCAACAAACACATGCTCGGACACGCAGGGACAAGCGTGCATCTACAGTCACGTAAAACGCATAAATGAGCCGAGCTTGCGTCCATCTACAGCTGTAGTCAGCGCTGCTGCTTACAAACTGGGTGGCTCAGAATAGCACAGAGGCTACATTCCTCTGCCCTCCCTCCACTGCCTTGCTATGAGAACACACAGCAGACAGGGGTTGCATGGACCAAGAGTGATCTAAGATGAACATAAACTATCTACTCCTTTTTAAAGTACCGATTTAAATGTGATAAACAACATTATTTAGACAGCCAAGTTCACTTTCACCGGCCACACCCAGGCCTGGCTACAGTCAGATCTGTCAAATTAAAATATCACTTCAGTAGAACCTGTCTGACTACATGTAGGCTAAAAGATCTCAAAAAGAAGCACACCATGCCCTGTAAAGGACCCCAGAACAACACCCTAAAACTGTAGGCTTGATTTACTTAAGGCTAAGGTCGAAGGTCATGATTTAACAATATGAAAGAAGCCCAGCAACATTCTGAAAAAGCATTTCAGAATAAAAGTTCAAAATGTTAAATATAGTGGTGGCGGTGGTGTTATGATCTTATGATCTGAAGAAATTATTTTGGATGCAAACATGGGCTCAAGACCAAAACATCTTGCTGACCAAAAAACAAACAAACAAAAAAAAAAAACACTGAACACATTTTCCAGAACCTTTTGTGGACTTCTGTCGGTAGAGAAAAATATTTTGTAATGTGTGTTCCATTTTACCCAGACATAAAATTGGAAAAGAACACCATACTCAGTCAAAAATGGTGCTGTTCACGCTGGAAAACCCATCAATTCAGCTGAAATAAAACAGATAAGGCAAATATTCCTCCGCAGCAATGTGGAAGACTCATCACCAGTTATCACAAATGCTTGATCACATTCCGAGGTTGACACAACCAATTATTAAAGTTAGAGGTCAATTACTTCTGGTTTGAATAGCTTTTAATCCCCTTGGAAATAAAATGATAATTTTAGAACTTTTTTTTTTTAACTCATGTCATATTTATTGTTATTAAAATGTATTTCTTGATCTGAAACATTTCAGTGAAACTGAGAAACCCGAAAGAAACGATCAAAAAGTAAACACGTAAACAATCATTATTCAGAGATAAATTGTTTGGTGGGGTGATTTAAATTCACACCCGTGTCCCAAATCTGGCCCGGCCCCCTTCTCTCTACGCCCGTGCACAATTATATTAAACAGGGCCAATAGGAACAAAGAAGCGACAGGACGGAGGCTCCGCCTCTCCCTGACTGCCTTCCTCTCAGCTCTTTACATGTACATAATCCCTGAGCTGACCCAGAAAATAGGCAGTCGTTTCAAGATCTGATGCGGTAGTCTTTGTGCGCGCCGTCCCCGCTCGAGCATGAACCCCGCGGAACACGCACCACTCTAATCCCGAGGAGCTTCGCCTCGCACAGGATAAGTGTTTTTGGGCAAAGGAAGAAGACGGAGCCGAAAGCAAAGTCGCGCAACTTTGTGAAAACGCAGCGGACACGGGTGAGCGATTTGGATCGGCTTGGTTTGTTGGAGGAAAACGGCTCTTTCTGCTCCGCCGTGGTCTCCTGCTGCTGCTGCTCCCATTGTTTGCACGCTCTTGCTAAAGACGAGTGAAAGGTGTTATCGCAGCGTTTTAAACGTCCGTGTCGAATTTAAAGCAGGATAAAAAAGCAGCGTCGCGGGCGGAGGAGGGCAGCAGGAGCGTGGTGTGTTTAATTGCACGCCTTCCTTGTTGGTATTGTGGTGATTCGGCTGTTGGGGAGATGTTGCATGATGTCAGTGGTCTTTGTTGCAACCTTACGTGCGTAAAGATGTTCCAGATCTCGCCACTTCAGCTGCTGTGCTGCACCAGGTCCTAATGTTTCCCCCTCATCTTGTTTTTCTGGATTTTATTGCGCCTAAACTGATAAACGCTCTCTGTTTGTTAACCTGTAATTTCCACCTGGGCGTCCTTGCTTTGGCACAAAGAGGGGAGGGTTTTGTATTTATTTATTAGGATCCGTGAGATTTTCTGTTTTAAACGCGATTTTTGAGTCACGTGTAGAATGAACTTGTGATTGGAGGTGTTTCCTAGGTTTGTAAAGTATCTGAGAAATGTGAACAAAAATCTCGTGGCCATTGTTTACCTACACCAGTTTGAAACTGGTTCAGATGGATCTTCTCTTTACTTTGTCCTGACTGCTTCTGCTTTCTGCCCTATGCAGGAGGCATGGCGGATCATCTGATGATGCCCATGAATCACAGCTCAGCAGGCGCCAGTCTCCACGGTTACAGGATGGGCATGAATGGCGGCCTGCAGGCAGGTCATCAGCAGCATGCCAACCAGCAGGGCATGCGGGCGCTTCCCAATGGCCAGATGATGCATTATGGCCAGCAGGCCAACATGGAGACGACCATGAGGCAACGGCAAGGCATGGTGGGCGGGTCCATGAATGGACAGCTCAACGGGGCTCAGATGGCTCACCATCAGATGACCTCTGGTAGCATGATGTATAATGGGCCTCAGCAGCAGCAGCACCAACAACAACACCACCCTCAGCAGCAGCAACATCACATGCATCCACAACAGCACCAGCAACAAGCGCAGCACGCGCAGCAGCAACAACAGCAGTTCATGAACGGAGGACTGACATCCCAGCAACTCATGGCCAGCATGCAGCTGCAGAAACTCAACACCCAGTACCACGGACACCCACTGGGACCAATGGGTGGGAACCACATGGGGCCAACAGCCCAGTACCGCATGAACCCAGCTCAGCTGGCTAGCATGCAGCACATGGCTGGTCCCGCGCTAGCCTTGAATGGGATGGACGCGGACATGATTGACGAGGATGTCCTCACGTCTCTAGTTATGGAACTGGGGTTGGATCGGGTGCAGGAGCTACCAGAACTCTTCCTGGGCCAGAACGAGTTTGACTTTATCTCGGACTTCGTTAGCAAACAGCAGCCCAGCGCTGTTAGCTGCTGAAAGGATCTTACATCATTACGGGCCACAAAAGGAGAACGTCCAGAGTGGATGAAGAAGAGGCGACGGCTTTGGTTTTTGTACGAGCACAGACCCGTGCAGAACTCTGGATATCCACCGCAAACACCGCGTCTGAGTCTCTGTTTCTTCTTCGGCTGGATTTAAAGCATCTTGGCTTGTTTTAGTATTTTCTGGACATGGATGTAACAAAGAAATGCTAAAATTCCTACAAGCCGCGCTGAACAACTCAGTGACACTATATAGCTTCTAAGTCCGGACTCCATGACAGTTTACCAGTAAACAGGTGTATTTATTTATTCCTATCTGAGAAAACTGATATTCAAATGAACCACCTTCTGTTACGGGATCCAACTTGTTCCTTTTATCCTTTTCCTGAGAGTAGGTTTTTGGAGAGAAATACTAAATTTATGTTCTCTGGTCATGGTTTTTGGCTTTGTAATGAAGTTAGCTTGGATGACATCTACAGGAACAATAGATTTCTTTTTTTTTATGACAAAAGTACAATGTTGTCTTATTTCAATGGGAGCGTCATCCCAACTTTAAAAAACTTTTTAAAAACGCGACGTTCTCAATTTCAGAAAAGATAATTACTGCTTGTACTGTATGAAGCTGTATGACTCCAACATGTCCACACTGTTGTGTTCTCTTGGAGATGTAGAACCGCCTTAATCACGCAGATCTTTTATTTATTGGTTGTTTATATTGTCCCTTTTTTTGTGGTTGAGATTGAGGGGGGTTTCTTTGTGAAAGGGGTTTTGAGGATCAATAAAAATGGCCTGGATAGAAGTGTGGCCTGATTTTCCATTCATTGCGTAGCTCTTTCCCCCCAGGCTCTGAAAGCAAGCTAACTGCTTTGGTGAAGGGAAATCTCGGTTTTCTTTCACGTCTGGGATGAGAACGTTAAAAACCGATGTGATGTTATGATATTTAGGAAGGGTATGCCTTAGGAAAGCCATGTTTCTTATTTACCATTATCATCTCGGAGTTTGTACCACTGAAAACAATACAATTTATTATTGGAGGGTTTATTTTTTTTTTGTCGTCAGCATTTTATCTGATATGTTCTACAGTGAAATTCAACATAAATAATATTTTGACAGGTTTTACTTGGTGAAAATGTTACAAAAACTATTATATAAACCACTTAAAGGTGCAATTTGTAAGAATTATTCTGTGAAATATCCACAACACAGTCCAATGTCTCAATCGTGTTGGAAGGAAGGTTTCATTCACAGTCAACTGTCAGGTTTTATCCTTTCAAAGAACGACATAGTTACTGTTTACGCTCCGAGTTTGTGAGGCTGCCGAATCTGCAGCGAACCAACGCGGGAGCGCAGGTATTTGCAATTAGGCACCCAAAAAACTCCAGTTGTTTAATGAACCAAATTCAGTAAACAGGAGCGACCTAGAAGTTATTTCTTGTACCGCTAAGAAGCCACAGCATCTTTTGGTTTACTTTGGCTACAGGCTAACATTGAGCTAACAATGCATGTCTCCTCATTGCTTGACTTCCAGAATCTTCTGCTGCTGATGCGTAACTGGCAAAAGCCATGAAACTCGGGGACACCAGTGAGAAAGAAATATTTTTGCTTAAAAAATGAACTGCAGTAACCACATTTGGCCACAAGATGTCGTTCCTACAAACTGCACCTTTAATACAATAAATATATAAACTTTATGCAAAAAGAGAGGAATATTTGTGTTTAGGTTATTTCTTTGTTATGACGGTGCCTCTTGGTTAAACATGTACATAGTGTAGCTTGCTGGCAGCACAATAACAAAATGTTGGAAGAGATTTCGGGATGTTTTTGGGGAGTTAATCCTACATGGTTATGCTGTGTTGCTTATTCCACAAATTTACAATCCATACAAGTTGAATCTCTTGATAAAGACTACCTATCAGGCTTTTATTTTTTGCCAAGAAACATCAGAATCAGAAAACTTTATTGGCCCCCCATCAACCAATGCCTGTAAAAGAAAGAATTAATAAAAGAAAATATGCAGAACTTGAGGAGTTTTGTCGAAACTCGGCACAATGACCAAAAGAAACGGTACCTTGATTTAAGTAGTTTTACATTTTTAAACCCTAACATGAACACAGAACAAGCAAAAGCTGACTGTGAGTCGTTAGCAGTGACTCAACAAATGGCCGAGACTATTTCCAAGCAGCCCCTCACTAGTCTGCACTGTTGCCAGTTGGAGGAATAACACTGTTGTAATATAATTGCGTTCATTACGAAAAGAGGGTGCAGATTCTCTGTGGTGGCAGAGCTGTTGAATTGTTTTGTGACTCCAGGCTGTGAAAAATGCCTGATTGAGGTCACGTTGGGAATGCTATCAACACAGTTAGCATTCCACACCGTCAACAAAGGCGTCTTTAGCTGCATCATGAGTAACAAGGGGGAAATGAGAGCAGTGTTATAAAAATAGCGTGAGCTGATTGCTCAATTTTTAAGTCAGCTAGACTCTTAAAACACCCCCCCCCCCCCCCCCCCATCCCTAGGCTCTATTATCCACTTGCAGCGATGGTCGAAGTGCTCTGCTTCTAACGTGGTGTCGCCGGTGATGCAAATTGAAATATATTTGACTAAAAACAGGGATTGTTTCAAAGAATGATGACGAGCTTGAGGGTGTGTGTGTGTTTCCTGAGCTGTACTCTGACAAGAGAATGGCTCATAAGTAGGCCAACAGTCTCTGGCACGGCGCTCGGTGTCGGTTGCAAGTCCGTTTTGCTCTGTGCCAATCTGGTGAGATGGTCTTCTGATGTGTGGCACATGGGGCACGCTGTCACACACTTAATACTCCCGTCTCCTCATAAAGCTCATAATTGCACGTTTCTCTACGAGCTCCTTGTTTTGCCACAATTAAACACAGAGGTTTGATTGTAACTATAGAGAAGGATGGTTAAATATGCCAAACAACCGTGTTTGCTTTCCCAATCCCTTGTTTTGACTGCCGCTCACCTTACCGAGGCCGGTCTAGACGCAGGCTAAGCAGGGTGGGACGTTTACAGTTACTTCTGTTTTTCTTCTCTCGTTTTCAGCCCACCCACAGCAACCGCTCAAGACAACACAGTGTCTTCCTGTGGCAGCTCGACGTTTCCACCATAAAAAGCCACAGTCTGATAGACGAGCAAAGTGAAAGACAGAAGGGAGGAGAAAGAGAATGTGAGGATCTCTTCGGTTTACTACTAGAAATTAGCTGGAGGGATTTTCTTCAGCTCTACTTCTCGGGGATTTTTCTTTCTCTGGGTTTTTCCCACAAAATTTACACGATTCCTTTGTGAACCCTTCAGCGTACGTCACGCGAGGCATGTGAAAAACAGTTCGCTTTGCATCTCTCTTTCAAGGCCCTAAGATCTGAACATTTACAGCAGGTCCGTATCGAGTGCTGTCTAGTCTTCTTTCCAGGCACTGGTCCAGCTGGTGCCAAGCCCGAGCTCGCGTTAATCTCTGGCTCTGGCGCCAGAGACGGATAGGTGGTCATTTGCTATTGTCACACATGGCCGGGTCTTCACATGTACACACACATACAGAGAACCTGTGCACAACCTGATCAAACAGACTATCAGTGATGCCAGTGCGGAGTCAGGAGAGAAGATAGATTGTCTCATCTCTGCTCGTCGTGATCCCCTTTGCCTTTACCTGCAGCGTGTTGATGGTTTCACTCGAACACTGATGGTGTAAACGAGCGGTGAAGGAGCGTTAAGATGATGTAAATGGATTTTGTAACGTTCAAGACGGTGTTACTACACCAGAGTGGTTTATTTCATAACAGCGGCGAGGCAAATTTGCAGAGCAAGAAGCAACATGAGAAACAACAAGAGATTTAGTTCCATCAAAGGGGACATTTCTGTTAAGTGTGACTGCTGCGTGAAGGAGACACGTGTCAAAGCTTGTTTTTTTTAATTTTCATCAAGTGAATTATTTGCAGGCTTTCTTTGCCTGCTTTGCATGAACCTTGTGCAGGTTTGTGTTAGCAGGGGGTAAACAAACAGCAGCTCAGTGGACATGCTGCTCAAGCTGGACTTCCTGGTTTCCCAGCTGAGCAACCACCACGTGCTTCTTGCTTGACCTTTGGTCTGATTGCACAGTCTCCTTTGAAATTTTTAAAGACCAAGTGCACTTGTTCTTTCAATGCTTTGAGTCAATCTCTGTGGGGAAAACGCTCTGTCGGTTCTGTTTCAGGAACTAGAAGTGAGCCAAAGGAGAGGGGAGCAGAGGACGAGTCTTATTTCCTGATTTTCAGACATCTCGCTTCTGATTGGCTAGCAGCAACACAACTCCACCACTGTCTCCATTTGTTTTGCTTCATTGATGTTTTTTCTCCACAAATAACACAAGTCTGAAGGAGTTCTGCCGTGCTGTTGAGTTGCTAATGCTAACAGTTAGCTTCTACTAGCCAAGACGAGCTCTGCTCTCTCCTGGATGCTAAATGAACATCAGCCTATCCCGTCGTGAGCCAAGAAGAGTGAGTCCATGAATGTTAATTTAAAAAATGACGTACAATTGACTGGCTATTTCTAACCCGAGCGTTTCCTCGTCTATTTTATGTCAGAAGCTAATGCAGGAAATAGGGCTAAATAAGACTATTTTCATGTTCAGCCTGCATGTTAAACTCAGAGGGACGATCATATTTAAAAAAATAACAAGTAAAAACAGTTTAACAGTGAACTTGCTCTTTAAATATCACCTCTTCCTCCCTGGAGATGCATAATTTAACCAGTGTTGTTTTAGTTTTCCTAATGAATTCTGCAGAGGAGGCTTTTCAACGCTGGCCCTTTTGTTTCTGAGGCCTCCAGAGGTAAGTAGCTGATTCTAGCATGCCGGGGCAGGTGACATAGAGGTTGCTTAGTGACGAGCAACTCCTCCTCCATCCCCCTTACTGAAATCTGGGGTCGAGAGTGTTCTCAGCTCTTTGAAGTCAAAAGGAAAGGGTGTAAATAATTTATTTTCCAGCACGCAGCTGACACGTCTCAGTCAGGCTGCCTCGAGCACACCAAATGTGTCTGAGCAATGTTAGAAGTGGTAAAGCTTTAAAGGTTGTTTGACCCCAAAATGATTTAATCATCATAACGTTGCTCGACGCCAGTTCCAAACCAGTGTTTTCATTTTAAAACACAAGGAGGGACTTTTTAAACACACCTGAACAAAACTACAGAGATCGTCGTAAATCACCTTTTCTAGGACACGGTTAGAAACCCATTGGCTTCAAATGGTAGTTAAGCCTTACAGTTAAGGTTCACATCACATTCATGTGATACCCAGTGCCCTGTTCTATGTCCAAAGAGTTCTGGGAGGATGACAGAAAATTCAATGGCTTTGGCCTCCCAGCCATTGTGTTTACATTCAAAATTTGTCCCTTTAAGGAAATTGCGAAGACGTCAGTTCATCACATCCGTTTCGGAAGTGAGTGACATAACTAAAAGGTGTCCGCAGACATTAAAAAAATGTTTTATTCTGTTAAAGTACCCTGAGGTTTAAAGGTTGAATATGGAACAATTTAATACAAAGCTACATATTTTATAAAATAATTCCTCCACAGACATTTAAAGGTGTGCAGAATGAAGGTACAGTACTTCCTTTAAAATCTATATTTTAATAAAAATATGATAAGATATTTATTTTTGACGAGTTTGTGTTTACGTCTACCAGCCAGCAGAGGGCACCACTTCGGGTTGCCACATACGGTAAACAGTCCGCTCAACGCAGCGAGGTTTGCACTGTGGAGAATGGCGGACTCGGCATGTCAAGCAGCTGCTTCTGAGCTCAGAAAAGGCCGTCATC